AGGTCATCCACAGCAATGGAGAAAAGATGGAAAAGTGTGTTGAAGTCTTTGGGGAAGTCTAAAGATTATCCCTTCCTTATACAGATCTTGCATATCAATGCTTTGCTTTTGTCTCTCACTCCCCCAACCTTTAATTCTTTCTTTCCCTCCTAAAAAAAAAAAAATTACCCTGAGATTAAGTGATTTGTATTTTTCATGTTTTTTAAGAAAAATGAAAACTATAGATAGGCACAGGAAGCAATTTAAATCGATTAAACAAAGAAACACTTCCTGAGGTCTGCTGCTAAATGTTTTCAAGAGGCAAGTTGTTGAAAAGCGTTCATGGTTCGGAATATATTTCTGTGCCACAATTTTCCTAAGATTCACTCTTACATTCTTAGGAATCATGGCTATATGAGGGGCTGGCCAGTTCTGAAGCCAGGCTACATAAATGCCTTGGTCTGTCTTGAAATCATGGCTGCAGTTGACTTGAGTCAATCTCTTTAGAGCCAAAGGGCTTTTACCACTGTTGTGCCTTCCTCAGCAACCCTCTTCCACTGCCCCCTCCCCAAATATACCCTTATACTGGAAATAAATCAACATGGAATTAAAAGAAAAATCCCCTCCACTCCTTCACTGATCAAAATGTGGAACAGACAAGGACCCAGGTCAGAATCCTGCAGCATTCTCATTTGATACTTCTCTCCAAGGTGACTTTGAGCTATTAACGATAACTCTGTCTGCAGTAATTCAGACAAGAGTAAGTCCGTCTTACAATACTATTATATAGCACATATTTTTCATTTTATTAAGGAGAATAATGAGAGACTTTGGCAAAGGTTTTGCTGAACCACAGGTGTGTTGTGCTTCTTGGATTCTCCTCATCTACTAAGTCAGTAACTCTATCAAAGGAGATAAATTTGCTTTGCATGACCTGTTTGCAAGAGACAAATGCTGACTCCTCGTAATTCAAGCATGCCTAACCATGTGCTAACCATGTGCTCACAAATATGTTGCTTATTAATCTGTTTGATGTCAAGGGTACAGCACTTTATTTTCCAGGATCCTCCTCCCTTTTGAAAAGGGGGACACTTACCTTTCTCCAAAGACCTCACCAGTCCTCTAGGGGTTCACAGAGAAATTGCACTCTTTCTAAAGCTTTCTGTGCTTGATGGTTGTTCATATTGCACTAAACAACATGGACATGTCTTAGCTTTTTCATTTCTTCATAAGAAAGGAAGAGAATAGTGAAATCACCCTTATGAGCGTACCAGCCTTCTATATGGTCTAGCCACAAATTGCACATCACTGATAGAAGAGAAATGAGTTTTGCATAAACATGAGTGCCATCTTAAAAGTCCCTTGCTTCACTTGTTCAGCTGGGCCCTGCACTGTTCCAGCTCACAGGATGTCTCAGGGATGCATTGTTGGTGGAGTTGGGTTTTTTGCAACCTCGGCCTTTCTTATTTGTATTGTTTTTCTAAGTGTAGGTTTTAACCTGGTCCCCTCCCAGAGTCACTGCTGTGAGAGGGGCAGCCTAATTAATTAATTAATTGCTTAAATAAATAGAAAACTACCCCAGAGTGCAGGAATCTGCTTTCCCCACTCGGAATGGGGCAGGGGTCCCAGTTCTTCTAGCCGGTTTCTGGTAGCAGGGAAGTGGCTTGGCTGGAGTTCCTCTGAGCACTTGCTTGCTGCCTCGTGCTGAAGGGTCTTTTCTCAGAGCACTGACCCCAACTGGGAGGGGGGAGCTTCTCTGGGTGTCCATTGGTGGGTGTTTCATTCAGCCTGGAAACTGAGGCTGATGCCATTGGTGAATCGGGGCAAAGCCATGTTCCACCTTTTGTCCCTATTACTCAGACCCAGTCTTGCTCTTACTTTTCTCCCTTTTTGTCCTCCACATAAAATAAATCCTAGTATTTCTTCTCTCTCTTTTAAAAAACTGCCTTCCCTTTCCCTCCCCCGCGTCTTTTATATCATCAGTTGTTCTAGGAATCCTGTATTCTTCTCCACCCATCCATCCCAGTATGCATAGTGTTTAAACAAATTACTGCATGAGTACAGTATAGAGAATAGTTATTCTTACCTTATTTGGGGGGAGAGAGTGGATTGTTTGCTCTTTGTGGGAAGTGGATAGAAATATATCCACTTCCCACTTTTCTAAAACAAAAATGTTACTTTATCATGATCAAGCCCTTACTTTTGCCAGCCAAAAACCTCTCCAAGAATATATCAAAGCTTTTTGGTTTTTCTAGTTTGGTTAAAATTTTAGAATAATGATAGCTAGAAACCAAGACATCCTTTGGATTTCTATATACATAAATTATCTGTAGGAGAAAGATGATAAGATCTAGTCAAAAAATGATCTTCAGAGACTCCATCTGGAGTGAATGTAGGGATGACTCTCAGCTTTTTTCCCCAGCAGCAGGAAAAAAGTGGGACGGAGGGGAAAGTCTTCCTTGAGGCTCGGTGGACCTTAGGGGGCAATCTGGAAGCCAGAGGGTACTCCATTTCTACTTCATTTGATAAAAAATTAACTGAACGGCAAAGCTAGCAATTATTTATTAACTTATTAATCATGTTTGTATAGCTGCCCATCTCAGGCAGTGATTCTCGGCAGCATATATAATTAAACAAAATACATAAAAACCATTAGAAACCACAATTTAAATGAAAATGAAAAACAAGGTAAAAACAACAAAACAGAATGGCGGCAAAGCACGCATAGAGTGCATTGCTAACTGTGATAGAATCATCTAACAGGCAATGATCAATACAATCATCTAAGAAGCAGAAGTGTAAGGTGGCACAAAAAGTTATGATCTGGAAGGGTCAGTCTGTGAAAAGTAAACTTAAGAATGAAACATCTCAGAGTGCATTGCTAACTGTGATAGAATCATCTAACAGGCAATGATCAATACAATCATCTAAGAAGCAGAAGTGTAAGGTGGCACAAAAAGTTATGATCTGGAAGGGTCAGTCTGTGAAAAGTAAACTTAAGAATGAAACATCTCTGTATATGGATCTTCAATTCGGTTCTTAGCCTATTTCTGCCTGGCATGACATTATGGTTTTGAAACTGTTTTGTTTGGAGTATTTTTCTCTCACACTTCAAACCTTGTTACCACTCACCAAACACATTGGAACAATATGC